GAGAGAGAGAGAGTGTGTGTGTGTGTGTGTCATGTGAGTGTGTCACGTGTGTCAGGTGACTGTCAGGTGTTTTCTTTACAACAGATATTAAACTCAAAGATAGCTAAATATTTCTGCTAATTACACTAATGAGAGGCAGAGCTGGATAGTAACTGATTACATGTGATCTGGGTCACGTAATAAGATTCCAAAAAATTAGTATTTTAAGTACTACTTAGATTAGAAATTAGAAATATAAGTACTTGTAATTAGACTAAATTAGATTTTAAAATACTCATAATCAGACTACAGTTGCTTGTTTATTGATTGCATATTATTCACATAAGAGCAATATATTATTATTATCTCCTCATTTTCATCTTTTCAATGAATGTAAACAAATACAATATTTCATTTTTAGTAAGTGTTCTAATTGATCGGTTAATAATTAATTATTAGCTTTTAGTTAAACTCACAAACCCCTTAATGTAATGTTTAATGCACTTTATGCTGTTAATAACAACAAATGGAATATATTTTACATTTAGTCTTTTATCCAAAGCCACTTACAAATTAAATCAATCAAAATCAACAAATGAGCAATTTTACTTGTGTTTTTTTTTTTTTTTTTTTACTTGTAATTAGTTTTTAATCATATAATAAATAAAAAGAAAACAAATAGAATACAAAAAAGTGAGTTCTAAAAGGGAGTTTAGTAAAAGTGTAATGTTCGTAATTGTACAGCGTTGACTAATTGAAAAGTTCCTGTCAAAGTTAGATTGTGTTTCTTGTCTGGCCTCATCTGCTTGCAGTATTCCGGCGGGAATGCATTCATAATAACTCATAATAATATTAATGGTGTGGACGATGAATCTGTGTTTCAGAAATGCAGCGCTCAGCGGTTATTTTTGTTCTGGCGTTCTGCACGGCCGCCTGGGCTCTGGATAACGGGCTGATGAGGACCCCGCCGATGGGATGGTTAGCCTGGGAACGTTTCCGCTGCGACACCGACTGTCTGAACAACCCCGACAACTGCATCAGGTTCATCAATTAAACATGATTTACAGTTGAGTTTGACTCTTAATACTGTGTTGTTAGCTGAATGATCCACAGCTGTGTGTTTGTGTTTAGTGATAGTTGTTCATGAGTCCCTTGTTTGTTCTGAACAGTTAAACTTCCTGCTGTTCTTCAGAAAACCCCCAGCTCCTGCACATTCTGTGGTTTTACAGCATCTTCTGCATATTTGAACCCTTTCCAGCAGTGACTGTATGATTTTGAGATGCATCTTTTCACACTGAGGACAACTGAGGGACCCATATGAAACATTTTTTGAATTTGAAGATCTGGGTAAATTTAACTTATTTTGTTTTCTTGGAAACATGTAAATATGGGCAGTACTAAATTAAAAAATATGATATTTAGGCAAAATAAAAAGTACACATTTTCATTCTGTTCGGCTCTTAATGCATGGTTTTTGCTTCTGGAGCGCCAGTGAGCGTTTGAACCTTCTGTAATACAATAGTTGCATATGAGTCACTCAGTTGTCCTCCGTGTGAAAAGATGGATCTCAACAAACGCTCGCTGATGCTCCAGAAGGAGAAACCATGCATTAAGAACAGAATGGAGATTTGTACATTTTTCTTATTTTGCCTAAATATCGGGGGGCTCTGCCCTTCAGAGGCTACAGAAGATACTTGCATGTTTCCCAGAAGACAAAATAAGTTACATTTACCCTGATCTTCAAATTCAAAAAGTTTTCACCCCCCGGCTCTTAATGCATGGTTTCTCCTTCTGGAGCATCAGCGAGCGTTTGAGGGACTCATGAACAACTATAACTAAACACAAACACACAGCTGTGGATCATTCAGCTAACAACACAGTATTAAGATTCAAGGGGATGTAAACTTTTGAAAGGGGTCATTTTTTACAAATTCAACTATTATTTTTTCTTGTGGAATATATGTAAACATCTTTTATGTGAATATCTTATTCAGGTCAGTAACATGCATTTTGTGTGATCCTTCTTTTTTTGGTTTGGTAAATTACCGTATTTTTTTTTTTTTAATTATTACTGTTTAGGTTTCATTTTTTAAATTAACTTAAAATATATATATTTTTTTAAATAATTTTATTATGTGCTTGTATTACAATTATTTAGGTAATATTATTTAATGTGTTTTTTTATTTTATTTTTATTTTTATTTTTTTATTTCAGTTAGTTGCCAAAGCACCATTTCTAATTTTTATTTAAAGTTTGTCATCTAATATTTTATTTTATATTTCATATTGTATTTTAAATTTTATATTTTATTTATTACCACCTTTATTTCATTTTTATTATTTGTGATCTTGGACCACAAAACCAGTCTTAAGGGTCAATTTTTCAAAATTGAGATTTATACATCTTCTGAAAGAAGCTGAATAAATGAGCTTTCCATTGATGTATGGTTTGTTAGGATAGGACAATATTTGAAAATCTGGAATCTGAGGGAGCACAAAAATCTAAATATTGAGAAAATCATCTTTAAAGTTGTCCAAATGAAGTTCTTAGCAATGCATATTACTAATCAAAAATTAAGTTTTGATATATTTATGGTAGGAAATTTACAAAATATCTTCATGGAACATGATCTTTACTTAATATCCTAATGATTTTTGGCATAAAAGAAAAATCTATAATTTTGACCCATACTATGTATTGTTGGCTATTGCTACAAATATACCCCAGCGACTTAAGACTGCTTTTGTGCTGCAGGGACACATTTAATTTTAGTTAACGATACTTCTATATGTTTGGCTCAGTGAGAAGCTGTTCATGGATATGGCTGACAGACTGTCGGAGGACGGCTGGAGAGAGCTGGGATACGTCTACATCAACATCGACGACTGCTGGTCCTCAATGCAGAGAGACAGTCAGGGCCGACTGCAGGCCGACCCCAAGAGGTGCTGACCCCTGACCCCTGACCTCAGCGTGTCTGAACGCGCTCCAGCTTCACCTAGGGAACATATAACGTTACTGTATAACGCGGAATGTCACGGAATTTGCCAAACTTTAAATGAATTAATCAAAAGTAGGTCATTACACTTAAATCAAATTGCGATATGGACTAGTGTCTGTAAATATTAAGCCGTAAATTACTATATTAATATGAATCCTGTGTGTATACTGAAGCATGTGACGTCTCACTAAATGAGGACATACATCTCCATAACTGCTCTGAGTAAAAAAATGTCACCCTTCATTTGAATAAAACTAGCGTAATATCATATACACACAGAAATGTAAAGGTATTCAAGACAACCCGTCAAAATAAAAGTCCAGTTTAACTTTTTGGCAGAACTTTGTGGCAGAAATATATTACTGTTGTTCAGTAGAATGTACGTAATACTTCTACTACTAAAATTATTAAAACTTATTTTTTTGTTAAAAAACACAACATTTCTTCAATGTTTTAATTAAAAAAAATAAAGTTTAATTTTCAGTAATTAAAAGATAATTGAAAATAATATTATATGCTTTCATTTTCAACCAGAAAACTGTAAATACACAACAGAATTTCTGAGGGGAAAAAAACATTTCAAAAGGCTATTTCAAGAATACATTTTAATAAATTAGGTTGTTTTATGTATTCAAATAATTAGACATGCTAAAACAAAGAATTTGGTAACAATAAAACATGGTGGGAAAAAAATAAAATTTCATAGAACCCTAAACATGTCATTTTTGTTAAACTTTTAATAAATTGATGTGAAATTGTATAAGTTTCATGATTTTAATTAATTAGACATGCATTTTGAGTAATAATATTTAATTTAACTAATAAAAAGGAGTAAAGAAAATTTTTAAAAAGAAAAAACGGAATCCAGAAAAATGAACGGAATAAAAATGGAATTTGAGGAAAATAAAATGTAATTTGGGAACATTTTTTATTAAATTTGTGGGGGGGGGGGGGGATTTATAAAAA